TCCTATGACCTGGCACACCTACTGCCAATACGTCATATGGGCTCGCGACTGCGTCTCCAAGCGCTAAGCGCTTCCCACCAGTAGTGCGGGGTGTCTACAGGTCGGTAGCTGAGCTCAGGCTCTGACCAGTGGCGGGAGCAGCCAGACAAGTATGAGCATCGGTGCTCGCAGCGGGAGGAGGAGGCAGGTGTGCTTCGTGGTGTTGGGGACGTGGTCCCGACGGAAGCGGATGCTTCGTGTTGTGTTGGACGTGGTCCAAGCACAAGCGTCCTGATTGACGCGTATTTGTTTCGAAGAAACTTGCTCAAGGAGCATTATCCAAGGTTGGAATTGCGCTGTTACAGCGAAGGTGGTGTGCCCCGGACGGGATCGAACCACCGATCTTTGGCTTTCAAAGCCAACGCTCTACCATTGAGCTACGAGGGCAATGCCCCTAAACTTCTCCGTGTATGGAGTATTGCTCATTCTATGAGAGGGCTGTGCCCGGGTGGAATTGAACCACCGACCTGTGGCTTTCGAAGCCAGCGCTCGACCATTGAGCTAGACGGGCGCTGCCCGTGGATCCAGTAAGTCCAAAACCTTAGTCAAGGTATATGGGCTGTGTCCTCGAGGGTGGTGTAGAACCACGGACCTCACGCTTTTCAAGCGAGCGCTCGACCACTGAGCTATATGGTCGGAGCCCAAAGTTCTGAACAAGGAACATGGAGCTCAAGGCCCTTGAGCTTGGCTCACATCAGGTTGGCAGCTTATTGAGCATGTGCCATGTCGGCAGGATGGTGCCCGGCCATGAAGGTATGTGAGGCAGCTCTCGGATCAGGCACGGCGTGCGCGTATGTTGGTCTAGGACCACTTGGGAGTTTGTGGCGCTTCGAGCTGAAGAGGTTTGGCCGTGGGCCGATGACCAGGGGCTGGGCATCAACGATGCGAAGGCGTTTGTGAGCTCGCGAAGCTTCTGAACGCGGGCTTGAGGTATAGTGACCTCCGACGTCTTGACAAGACTAGGGTCGCTTGAGGAAGTTTCGAGAACGGGATGTTCTCATCTTAGTCGGGGGTAACGGAATTACACGGGTGTGGTGCACACATGGGTACGGAGTACCCGAAGAGTTAATATACTCTCAGTACATGACTCGTAGAGTTAACAGTGGCCTCAGTACCTAGCCACACGATACGCATTTGATTAGGTTTAACTATGCTAGATAGTTAAACAAAGATAGCGGCTTGGCCGCAATAAAAATAAATAAAACACTTCTGGTTTTGAAGTATAAAAGTTATTTGTGTTCTTAATAACTTTGAGCCCTGGTTCTTGGGCTGTAAGTTTCCTTCGGATAAGGAACTTAGTTTTAGGGACTCTTTGAGTCGTACGTCTTCCTCTGACGTTAGCTACGGCAGCCCCGCTGCATTGTTAAAGACGGTGTTACTTCATTCGTCGGACGTGAAGGCCACTGGATCGACCTGTTATCGCAGCTGGCGTGGTTTGATTTTTCGACGGATCATATAGCTGACACAAGAGGTCCAGGGAGTGATGCTGATCCTGATACCCAAGTCGGTGTCGTGCCACCGATGCAGCAACCCACAGAGCATGGTCAAGCAGCTCCTAGCGCTACTCTGATCGAAGCTGGTACTCGTCCAGGTGTTGAGGTACCTCAAGGCACCAATAAAGTACCTCAAGTTACCGAGTCGGTGTCTTCGGTTACAAATACAGTCACCCAAACAATTGAAGACGTTGTGCGCACGCAAAGAGCTCACGGTTCGTCCGAACGGCAACCATCTTTATCGAATCAGCGAATGGCTATTCCTGACACGTCTTCGGTATATCTAGGTACAAAAAAACAGCCTCCAGCTAGACTCTAGCTACACCAACGGTACCTGCAGGCACAACCAAAAGAACCACTGCGTCAGAAGTAACTTCAAAAGGAAAGGATATGCCTGCTACGGTGTTAACTACCGCTTCAGTAAAGAGGGCGCATGAAACCAGCGGGTCGTCCGAATCTTCGGAGTCTTTCCGTATAACCAAGAGCGCATCGTCTCGAGGTCGTCCAAAGGTCCGCCAGAAACAGAAGCATGCTCAGAAAAAGCAGCGGATGAAGGAAGAACGCGCTAAGGCTAACAAGCTTGTTCAAGGAAAGCTAGCACCGGTTCAAAGCGTACACCGTATGTTGGCCCAATTTGATGTTGCCGACAGCTACGAAGATGCTCAGCGCGGCCTGGCAGTCATATCAGAGTGCACAATACCCAAGTCCAAGAAGGCAATCGCTGGCAACTTTGCAGACGATGAGTGTGAAGTGAATATTCGCTACGTGTTCCCGGAGGAGTTCGTGATGAAAGCCCAGTCGGCGATTCGGACGTTTGGTAACGCTCTCAGGGATGGGATCTCTAGCGATGGGATCGGCGTCAGAGTGCCTCGATTTGGTGTTTATTCTCAGCAGGATATTAACGCAATGAATAGGTGGCACACAGCAATGAGTTACGTGACTGAAACTACAAACGCTATCAAGTGGGCGCTCCACACAAGTATCAAGCGCGTTGAAGTACCACCCGAACTTGAAGACGGCGTCAGTGAAGTTCCTGAAAATCGAGAGGCGGCGTTCAAACGGATTCCACTGCGCGGAGAACGTTCAACATCGTTAGGAAGTCTATTGTACCGCGCACTACGGTCATTTTGCGAGAACAATTGGATGGATGATGCTGCAATGTGCCACGGGCTTGTACTACTTCAACGTGAAAATGCTGGCGTTGGAGTTGTGGACCCCATTTTTCAGCAGTTACCCGATGAGCAAGTTAAGGTGGCCCCGCAAGCTAACCCTTTCCAAGAGGGGAACGACGTCATCCTGATACCAATGCACGTGGATGGAAATCACTGGTGTGGCATCGTAATCGATTTTCGGGCAGAAAGCAGAGAAATTACGATTTGCGTTCCCTTATGAGAAAAAAAACTGGAAAGTACTACGATGTCTGCAAGGCCAAATTGATGGAGCGGTATATCATCTTCTACATGTTAAGAAGGAAACGAAGTCTCGACAACCTGACATGACAAGCTGCGGAGTCGCCGTGCTTATGTTCTTCGAGTGCAAGATCCGAGGTATTACGCTACCTCCAAAGCCTTCACTGGCATTCATGAGATTCATGCGATTGCGGTATCTGCTCAAGTGTACTCTTTAGCTACCTGTAGAGAAAAATACAGTATGCAGCTTCTTCTTCTCAATTTACGTACGTCGAACAAATTTACTACGTAACCGTGCGTTGATGCGTTGATGCAGAGTAGCCATCAAATAATGCCCTGTGTTATATAATGTAATATATATTGTAAATGCAGTATTTTGCTTGTAAAACATTTTGTAGTACGGCATTAGCTGCTGCTCATACGATTTACTAGACTGTGTACATCCTAGCTGCGTGGGTATCTGTGATAAGGTGTTGTAGACGCCAGAATTACAGCGCAAGTAGCTTTGGTGATGAGTTCTGGCCGCAAAGTACTACACCGGCATCACAGAGTGCTTGGTACATTCGCACTGCATTATCGATACTGTGTCACCTTCCCCGCAACCTGAACGAGCGTGAAGCTGTAGCCAGTCAACTAAAATCTCTACAAACTCTGAAATTTATGAAATCCGATTGGCATAAATTACCCGAAATTTATCATCCATGTACCTAAAGTACTACTGAAAGTGGCGCTTAGGTAGCTTCAGGTACGCAGTTACAAACAGGTACTCATCCCATGTACCCCTAACTCCCACTTAAGTACGAGATACTCAACATCGATCAATTTAGTTTTCGCTTTTTGAACCAAAAAGACTTTATTCTGTAACGTGATGCTGATGTACCCACTGTCCAACTAACGTTTGACCAACCAGCACGAGATTTGTCCTAATGTCTTGTGGTTTTGATTGTAAACCCACCCCTTGGATAAAATGGCCAATCGTTTCCGTTTCCCCTGGTCTGTTTTAGTGGCTCTGATGCCTCGTGCAGGCTCAGCCCAACTCAAGATCACCACCATGCTATCCCCCTACAATTGGCGCTTTACAGACAGTCTACGTGGCGAGTCGCGCATCAATCAAAAACTGGACGCCCTTATGCCGATGTGTGTGATTTCTAGTCAGCTCAAACACTGGACTGTGTGTAGTAGCAACCTCGATCAGTATCATATGCGCTACCGTATCTACTGCTGCAAGTCTGAGCCCTGCTTGAGCGCACTTATCTCGTGCAAGTTTAAGCTGAAGACCTTGACCTGCGAGAGAACGAAACAGAGTCATCTACATCAGCACGATGACCACTTTGCCGTCAGCGCTCCTAACCTGCGTCCGCAACTCTCTCTTTTGAGATGAAGGCGGCTATCCGTGAGCTAGTGGCAAAGGACGTAAAGCCCGCTCGCATCCACAATGAGCTGGTTGATAGCTGCTATCGACCGGAGCAGTGCCTCCTCTAAAGCAGATCCAAAATGTTGTCTACAACTACAGACGAAGCAAAATGAAGAACACCGACGTCGTAGAGGACATGGAGGAGATTGCTGCTGAATCACAATCTTTTGATGATCTACCTGATACTACGCCATTCACGTTCGGGTACCCACTAGACGAGGACGGGGCTCCGGATCTTGGAGACGGAAGTGACGCCGAACCATTGGTGATTGGAGTCACGACGAAATTCTTACTCAAAGTGGCCACGTGGGATCCCGACACATTTGTCTTTCATAAAGACGCGACGTTTAAGCTTGAAAATAAAGCTTTCTCTACATCTTAGTATGAAATGTTAACGGCTTCACTTTCTAAAACTCTAAAGTTAGTAACAACTAGATTGTGGTTTGAACTGATTTCGAAACGCTACCAGTAAAATTGCGGACGACTAATCATTGGCATGTCCGTGATTACATTTTAACCGTTTCGAAGAATAAAATCCAGAGCTGTTCCGTACGAAAGCGTGGCTTTGTAAATACAGTCCTTAGATTGTGGTTGGTACTCAACAGATTACGGTCGGGACAAATGTCCTACGACAACACTGAAATTATGTTTACGGTGCTGTACACAACATTCCCTTCGCAAACTAATCTTAAT